TATTACTCTCATCCCAAGAAAGTTTGTTGAAACAACACCATTTTTGAAGTACCAAATGGTCCAGGTTGTTGCAAAGATGGGAAGAGCCCAATAGTGCCATGCTTTCCTTGGGGTTGAAAGTGAGCAGAGCTGAAGAAGCAAATGGGAGATGTTATCCGTAGGGATAAATGTGAGTCTCCACCAACATATACAGCTCCAAAGACTTTGAGAAAATCTGCACTTAGCAAAACCATGGTTTGCATCTTCCATATAATTATTACATCGGACACATAGTGGGCTGGATGCTAAATCAACACCCTGCTATATGAGATTATCCTTGGTGAGGAGGCGATTTAAGAAGAGGCGATTTAAGAAGAGGCGCTAGGCAAAGACACTAACTTTAGCAGGCATCAATTGATTCCATATTAATTCGCAAACATTCTCATCAAGGTAGGGAAGAGACACATTGAGAAACGGAAGAGACACATCAAGAAACGAGTATGCCATTTTTGCAGAATATCTTGAGGGGTAGTGCTTCCAAATTATTCTATCTACTTTGCCTTCGGAAACAGTAACACTTCGCAGAATGTCTTCCAACATCTCAAGCTCATCCAGTTCTCTTCCAAAAAGGGATCTATGCCATTGAAGATTCCAGCCCTCCCTAATGGTTGGTTTCAAATCAACTACTGTCAAGTCAGTCTAAGGTGAGATTGAACAGACAGGGAAATTCAAGCTTTAAAGGAGAGTTTGCTAGCCAAATATCCTTCCAGAGGTTGGTTTTTAGAGCCATCACTAAGCTAATGTGAAAAACCATTTGAGAAGCACATGGTGGCTCTATCGCATTCCTTGTAAATGGATAAAATATCCTTCCAAAGAGAAGATAATCTTGAGGACTCAGTGGTATTGATAATATCATTGGTTCACGTTTGATTGATGTCAAATGTTTTAATTTACTTTTCAACAAAATTACATATTTTTTCGTAGTTTGAAATTTTTATAAAATTTGTTTAAAACTCATTAAAAAAATTAACTTATAAATTTTTTAATAAAATTTTAAATTTACGAGAGAAAATTTTATTTTTAAAGTAAGTACTCTTTAAATTTTACCAAATACCTTTTAAGTCTTTTGTCTAGATCAAAGGAAAAATAGAGGGCTTAGCTTTTACTTTAATCCTATGTTTGGGTAGAGAGGAAGGGAGATGAATGGAGTGGAAGTGGAGGTGAATGGAGGGGAAGGAAGGGGGGGAAGGAGGGAAAGGAGAATTATTTCCTCCTATTCCCCTTTATTCCCCTCCCTTCATTTTCCCCCAACTAGATAAGTAACCAAATTAAAAGATAAAATAAAGAAAAGTAAAATTCCTCCCCCCTCCCTTTCAATTTTTTTATAACCAAATAAAATAATTTTTTCTCCTCCTCTCTTCTCCCCTCCATTCCCCTCAAATTAAACATACAATAAGTGATTGGATTCAATTCCTTATCTATGTTGTGGGAGAAATTTTAGTTTAAATTTGGAGAAGATTTGTCGGAATGTAAAGTTTGATGTAAAGAGCTAAGGTACCCTTTGAAACTAAACAATAGAAAATACTTATTTGTTGGAACAAAAAAAA